AGAGGGAAAACACCATCTTCTAGTAGTACAAATAATGTTTTTTTTTATGTACGCAAGATCCAATGTAATGAATAAAGGACAATTACATATATTGTCAATGTAATGTTGAGAGTACTTGTTTAAGCCTTACATATTTATCAGTGTTTAGTAAATGTGTGGCGTCTGTTACAAATAGGCCCATAAAAGGTTTTTCTTGTGGCAATATTAATACAAGAATAGTATGCCTTATCTCCTATTTTCCCACCAGGGTTTCTAAAGGCGATATTCAAGACATATGTCACATTCTCTATCCCCCGAGGGTTTTTTTTGAAGGATATCAAAGACGTAAATTCCTCCTCATATATTTCCCACTTGGATTTGGAGGGTTATTCCCGTTATGATCCACCGATCATTGCTATTGTTCTTTAAACACGTTTATGAATTCTTGTTTTCATATGAGTTTATAATCAGGCAATAACAAATATATGTTCTTGGATTTTTTTCATTTGAGTTTTATAAGAGTTTTAACAGCATATCAATATTATCATTTTCCTCATATTTTCTGAAAGATTTTGGAAGAGTTTTGATATTATATGACATATCTCTAACTTTTCACATAGGGGTTTTTAAATGGGATGCCAATGACTAGTGATTTATAAATCACACATTTATATGTCATGATTATTTTTCCCTTATTTTCCTACAAGATTTAACGGAGTTTTATGGCATATCTATCTATATATGTTGCTTAGATTTTCCCCACAAGGTTTTGTGAGGAATCTCTACTATATTGATACCAGAGAGTTCGATAGGGGAGTCTTACGAAACATGGTGTCCTTTCAAAGAGACAACCCATTGGTGTGTAGTCACTAGACATCAAAACTGTATTAGTGCCACCGAATGGTGCCAACAGTAGACGCATGTCCATTAGTCAAGGGTTGCCACAGTTGCCTTTCAAAAGAACGCCTAAACATTAATACAGAAAGATAATTTATTTTCTATTCTTTCATTTACGTGCTCTAGCTTTAACAACAACGAGAACCCATCACCGTGCCATAGCCACCCCCGATCCACCGTTGCATCCCCTTCCTCGGCAGACTCGGCTACCTCCTCCGCCGGCGCCCGGCCTCGCCTCGCCGCACGTCGTCCCCCTTCGCGGTCGGGATATGGATCAGGCAGCGGCCGCTGCCATCGCCGAAGCTTTGCAACCCCGTCCACTGTTAGCTCGCAGGCCGACGGCATGGCTGCGCTTGATAGCTGATGCGAGACAACGCATTGCGCTAGGTTCAGAACAACTCAGAACTCACTGAAAAAAATGGAGGCTGTACTTGCTTCTCCTATATATACCCCTCGAGTGGCTTTCAGACACCAGTTTCTATTATAGCACTACTGACGTAAATATAGCCATATGGAAAAGCAATTGTTGAACAAAGACGCTGATAATTCAGTGGCACATCCGTGTGGTCTCAGACTCTCAATGTATATATTTTTGTCTGCTTATACTACCAAAACGAATATTACCGCTCTATTAACCGGACAATCTATGGAGCATAGTTGACAGAGTAAAAACACCTCATAATAAATGAGAAAATTGTATAAGAAACAAGATCTACATTACAGACGCCATGGAATAGTTAGGCAAACCTTTCTTGTTCTTCCCTCTGATTCCAGATATTTCAGGGCCAAATTACCCTTGATTTTCAACATACAACAACTAGCAAGGCACCTCCATCAATACAAAAAAAAATTGTTTTAACCAGGAAGGGTTAACCACCGAAATGGCCAAATTTAACCCCAATACAGGTAATATATGATAACTATTAACTACATCAAGGTACCTTGACTAGACTGGGAACAGAAAGCAGCTAGTACACATCAGATAAAACCATGAGTCGCCTTTTGATGCTAGGCTCTCCAGTTTGGCATCAGTCATGGATCCTGCAGTTTAAGAGGATAAACATTATGTTCCAATTTAAAAGCTAAAACAAAATCTTTTGATGGTCTTGAAAAAGCTAAAACAAATCGATGCATCGAAGCATTAAAACACCTACACCATATGAAATTTAAGACCATAAAGTTGTTTTATGGATTCACTACCCCTTTTAATCAATATCAAGCAAATTCATTTAGACCTTAAAAGCCAAGATACCAGATTAATCAGATCTGGTCTCTCAGGTCACTCAGATAGCACGAACCTACAAGTTGGAGCAAGTAAATGGGGAAGATAATAATTTTGTCGTATATACTCCAGTGCATTACAAAGATCCCAACATCAGTTGTGCGGGGTGACTAAGGATGCAAGTGGGTATGCAATGGTGTTTTGTGGTTTCAGCCAACTTAGTTCATTTCTCCCCCTAAATTAAGTAGGTGTCATTGCCATTCTAGCTCATTTTATCAAGTTTTTGGTCGACCCAATGACCCAAAACATGTGGAACCTGCATCCCTAGTGCTGACATACATATTGACATCTGCTCCATCTAATAATAATGCCATTAACTACTATTAATTATCCTTTTTCATTATGGTCACATAAATTCATTCAAGTCTTCAAAGCAAACATAACTAGAGTAATAAAGTACGGCCACTCAGGGAGCATATAATACAGTGTCACAAGTTCTGAGCAGAAAATATGAATGATTTAGAGATTACATTCAAGCATAGTATTTTGATAACACAATGCCACAAAATTCTGAACAGAAAATATGAGAGTTATACACTACAGTCAAGCATAATATATTGCTTAGAGAAATTTGTAATACGTTAAGCACTCCTTATGAATGTAACTATCTTGCCTTCAAAAAACTGCAATGTCCACATTCGAGATTTCATCTATAGAACATCTATGTCGGAACAGTTATTCCCAAAATGACATGACATGTCACATAATTTGCTTAAAACTCCAGAATCAACATGTTGCAGTAGCAGAAACTAATGATTCATTGCATAAAAGCTATTTATTGCCTGCCATCATCCATCTACTATCTGTGCATTGTTAGAATCAAAAGAAAAGAGAAATATGCTCTGCTATTGATACAACAAATTTAAAGTTCATTTAATTTAGTTGATTTCATTTTTAAATAGCAAACTGAAGCGTGTCACTTAAGCATTCTTATTACTTACTGTCACTAACTAGTTCATAATTATTTCTATTTCTACCTTTATGTCATGATTCAAATGGTATTCTTGAGAAATGCCTAAGAAAACTGCAAGTTTGAGACATGACACATGAGACTGAATTTGTGCCTTGCTTTGTAACAAATTGACAGCAGATTGTGTAAGTATAAAGTAACACACACCCATGGATGCAAAGACTCTTGCTTCATGTCTGTTTAACCTAAAACCAATTTTATTCCTTCTTAATGCAGTGACAGGAAGTTCTCCTGCCTGTTCAGAATACAAAGTCCATGAGAAAGGATGAGGCATCAGATAATATGTCAGATGGATACTGCTAAAAGCCTAAAACAATACAACTGAATCTGTGTGTTAAGAATACAAAGTCCAGGATTGGAGAAAGGATGAGGCATCAGATAATATATCAGATGGATACTGCTAAAACAATACAACTGGATCTGCAGACTAGATCAACAGTTGATGCTCTATTAGCCATTGGAAGTTATGAGTGAAGTTGGAGAAAGGGCTCAAATTGTGCGAGAACATTCAGCAAACGAGACTGATATGGTGTACATTCTTAGGAGGCAAAAAACACCTGGTGTTTAATTATTTGGTGGACCCGGATTATGGTTTCTTTAAGGATTAAACAGTAAGCAATGTGTTTCTAGGGATCAGTAAACATACTTAACCTCAAAAGCTTGTAAAACATGGGAAAAAAGAGAGGAAGGAAGTGGCATCCCTTTGGTCAAAGAAAGAGGTTGAGAAAAAAGAAAGAAAATAAAACTTCAATAAGATTTGTTATATAATGTATGATCCAGCACCCTCAATTTGGTAAAATATTAGTGCACAACTATTACGTGCTACATGCAAAAAACAGTACATGAACAGGGTATACATGTATTAGCCAATCAATACAACAACAATTTCATACATGTAACGAATGGGCAAATCAACCAATTAAGATGGCTAATTCAGGCAAAATTTTGGCAAACTTACTAGGATAAAATGAGAAATAGGGGGAGAAATGTGAAGTTAAGGTTTTTTTCCTCGAACATGCAAGAGAGCAACACATCTTTATTAAAGAAAGAGAGAGGGGGGGGGGAAACCCCGTAGGAGGCAACCTACTTACCTCAAATAGGAGGTGAAAGAATGTTGCAAGAAAACCATTAAAAGAGCTTGACAACCATAAAAGGTTTACAATCACAGATAGAGCAAAGAAGTAAATGTTATACTATAGTTTATTAATGAGTCAGTATGCTTTTAGCGCCTAATTGTGAAGGAATATTACACTAGCTGCACTCTTGCATGGCCATTTAGGCTATAGTTTATGCAACAATGAAAATGGTCATCTAGGTTAGTTCAAGCATCAAATCAGCAAGCCAACATGATGTGTTATGCTTCTTAACTACGGACACTCATTTCTCATACACTTGAGGAAGTTCAAAGTTCATACAGTGTATGCTCACCGAAGCATGACACTAGACACAGATGAAAAAGAATATAGGACAACTACATGAGAGCTTTGGGTGACATTAAGAACTAACATGTTCTACAATATATATACCTCTAAAGAATTGTTGAGTCCTGCCAAGTCACTTACATGGCTTGTTTAGATCAACATATTAACGAAAACTGCATAAGGATTTTCCATTCCATATCTCACTCGACAAGCAAGCATGGTTGGAGGAACAGAATAAAACAGAAAATCCATTTTTTCCTGAGCGGTGGACAATAATCTACAATCCTAACCCTAGTTGCAGCAAGGGTGCCTGGATCCACAGATGGCAAAATTCTCGATCCCATGTCCAATTAATTTTCAATCTACAAATGATCATGGACCACCAACCAGAATTCAATAGAGGAAATTCCAGAAAGTACAACACAACACAATCCAAAAACTCCCAAAACATTCAACTGTGAACAATCAGTTCGGAACCATAATTCTTCACACTGGAGAATAATCCTGTGTGTAGCTACATCATCGAAATATGGCCAATCATTCATGCAACATTATACCCTAGAATTATCACAGACACAGCCATCATCGCTGACTCTCATTCAGAAAAGAATGCATTTCGGGGGAAGTTTGCTAAAGATTGTTGAACTATAAACGCAATGTCCAGTGAATGCTAAAGCACGAAATCAAAGAGTGAACTTGACCAGCATAGCCACAAGAATTACCTGCATCGGGGAGTTCACATCGGCGTGAGCGGCTCCATGCTGTGGGACCAGCCGGTCAAGCTCATCCAGAGCCGCGGCATCCGCCTTGCTCAGATTGACCGCCATCTTCCCCTTTTCCTTCGGCAGGCGCACATCCCGCTTCTCGGGGACCCCGGCCACCGGCAACCGCGGCAGCTTGTCGTTCAACCTCGCCATGTGCTCGTCGTCTGGCGGGAGCGGGTGCGGGAGCTCCGCTTCGATGGAAGCCCACCTGGCCTCGAATATCCCGGAGAGCTCGGCGGCGCTCTCGTAAACGGGGTCGCCCTGGTTGTTATATGACAAGGCGTTCCGGAACGTGAGGCGGACGTCGTCCGCGAACGCAGTTGGATAGACGTAGCGGCGGCGCTCAAGGCGGCGGAGCACGGTGCCGAGATCCATGGGATCGGCGACGACGGTGTAGTAGTCGCGGAGGCCGAGGGCGAGCGCGCGTCTACAGGGGCCTCGAAAACCCACCCATCGTCGTGCCGCAGTAGGTCGTCCAGGAGCGCACGGCAGCGCCCGAACGCGCGGCTGAGATCGTAGCAGCCGGCGCCGCCTCCTGCCGCGCCTGCCGCGCCGCCCCCAGGAGACGGAGCCGAAGCGGAAGCTGGAGCCGACGCCGTGCGCCGCCGCGGGTGCCTGGGATCCGCAGGGAAGCCGGGCGGCGGGCGCTTTGGACGCGGCATCGGGAGGGGTTTGGGCGATTTCAAGTTTGGGCGAATACCACAGACGACTCTAACCCTACCGGAGGTCTCCGGGCCCGTTTTCTGTGGGTTGTGGCCTTGTGGGAGCCGGTCGGCAGGCACTAGTCAACAAGAAATCCCATTTTATTCTTATTCTACTTCTATTCTTTTCTTTCTATTCTATCTATATATATCTATCTATCTATCTATCTATCTACGCCTATAATGCACTAGTTAAAATAAATCTAAAGCCACATAATAAATACCTGCTCCACAGTCATGACCTATGCTACATCCACAACCATAAATGCACCTAGAAAATATAACACCATCAAAACGGATGCACAAGATTATCTCTTAGTCATTCTCTCTCATTACTCATCCAAATCTGACGGCTCATGTTTAGTGTGTCTCCCCTTCATCGCCCTCGGCACCCACGCCCACGCCCAGCGGCGGTGGTTTGATCCCGTGGGGGAGTGTTTTTTTCCGAAATTTTTTTTGAAACACAATCTGCTGCTTCCTCGCCCTGTCTTCCAGCCATGACGGCGACTCCTCCTATTCCTTCCCTCTCTCTCACTCGCATACGGAGCCGGGAAGCGGGGCAACCGTGCGGGGGTGCCAGCCGAGGGCACGCCCTAGCCGCGGGCGCAGGGCCACGGCGAGCTGAGGCCGTCACCGGCCGCGTGCTCAGGGCCGCCGGCTCGGGCTGCCATGGCGAGGAGAAGGCTTCTCGCGCTCGCGTTCGGGATCCATGGGAGGCCTCAGGCGATGCAGCCGTGGTGGCAACCCCTGCCCCGGTTCCTGTCCTCAGCGGCCTCCGGTTTCGCGCGGCCGGTCACCAGGAACCCTGCTTCCTATCCATGGGATCGATTCAGAGGTTAGGGTTTGCCCATCCGTCTTGGTTTACCTTAAAGGCTGTTTTTTTACATCTCGAAAAGTTTGGATCAGCGAATTATTTTAGGCTATACTGTGGTGGTAAGAGATACCAATTTCATCGGATAGAGGTAGCAACGGCATTAGCTGTGCCAAATTGTCGAGCTATAGTGGAATTTGATTTGTTAGTGACCTTTGTTCTTTGTTTGGGAGAAATGAAAATAGTTTGTATCGATGAATTTGACAAGATGAGACCTGAAGACAGGTAGGCATCAATCAATTTATATGTTTGGTGAAACTAGAATAAACATATTACATCTCTTTTTTTGTCTGCTCTCGAAACCACATTAACACAGTCCCCGTTTTCTGATGCTACTATTCCAGAGTTGCAATTCATGAGGCCATGGAGCATCAGACAATATCTATTACCAAAGCTGGCATTCCAACACGACTCAATTCGAGGACTTCAGTTCTTGCAACTGCCAATCCAATTGCAGGACCCTATGATGATCTTATGGTTGGTAAACATGTTTTTATTGACTCAATAAGTATCCATCTTTTTAAAGTATATAAACTGTTCAGACGATCATTCTTTCGATGCTCATCAGACTGCACGAGATAATATTTGATTCAGACAACCATTCTTTCATGATTTGGTCTAATGTTTATCATCAAAGATATCAGAATGTATGATCAAGATAAGGTATGAAGCAACATTATTTGTACAGCTTTTCTATTCTAGCTACTGAGTACATTGAGTACTTTTAATTTTAGAAAAATAAAAAAAAATCATAGAAGGTTGGAGATTTTTGTTGGCTTATTCTGGCTATATACATAGTGGAGCAGCTTATCTATATGAACTTTGGGCATTATGAGGTTTCTCTTATCATCTTTGCAGTCATGGAGGAGTCACCAAAATTTAGGAGAAATCAGCTATCGTCGAGGCCTTCCCCGCCGATTGCATGACTTATTTTAGTTTTATGATTTATTTTTTCTAAGCATGATTTATTTTAGTTTTATGATTTATTTTTTCTTGACGCCATCGTAGCGTTAGCACGGGCAATATACTTTTAAGAAAATGTTGCATTTTCATGTAAATTTAAAGTGTCAGTTGGAAATATGAACTAATCTTTCATCATGATTTCCATGTGTTCAGGTTGTTGAAGCTGCACTTATTTCTAGAATACAAAGATTGGAGCAGAGACTAATGGAAATTGAGCCTCATGTGAGTCTCTGCGTCCTTAAACTTTTTATATTACATATAACTCTTGCTCTTCTTGTAGAAAATTGTACACGATGGTGTGTGTTTTACTGCATACTCCATTTAAGCATTGTCACTTACATGCTTCTCAATCATTGGCTTTAGACCTTTAAGCTGTTACTCCCATCCCGTATTTTCTTGGGATTTCAATTTAGTCAGCTTTCATTATAGTGCACATAGTGGAATTCAAACAACAATGCTTTCAGTTATTTTCATCTCTTATATGCCTTCCAGAAGCCCAACTGCAAATTCACAGCCCAAATGTCATTGCAGCACTTTCAGAAAGTTAATCCACTAATTTGTCGTCAGCTTTTGACTCTGCTCCTTTGAGATACAAGTAGGAAGAGCCCTACCAAGTTGATTCTTCATTTTCAATGTGCCGCTCTAGGTATGGTGGACTTAGTACTTCACTACTGCAATTAGTAGTTTTTTGCTTTCATTTCATTGTGAAATGAAGTTTATGAGCCGCATAGGTCTTTGCATTTGTGTTGAATCATATATTACGCAAGCACTTAAAACTTCGATGACAAATATTGCTTTCCACTTGCATCTTAGGTGGCTACATTGCTAGAAGAATTCTACCAAATTGATTGACAGCTGATGTGCTGGAGCAGCTTCGTCTAAGTAAACAAGCATTGGTATAAAAACTATGTTCTGGAATCAATTTCAGCGGCCACTTCTCAAACTTTATTTTGATTTTATTTATGTATGTATGTACTCATGTGTTAAGGTTGAGCTGGGTTCACGAGCAGGTGACCTCAAACAGATGCTTATTGATCTCCTGGATGAAATTGCACACTTGATAGATTGAGTGATAACATGACCTATGCATGAGTGTTTGCATGAAGTGGTAATTTTCTTAATCTTTGTATTTTAGGGTTTCTGATGATAACTTGTTGCGAATACCATGTACTAATTTATTGCCGTCGGTGTTTTGTTCACTGGACAGCCAAAGAGATCAGGGATTCAAGATTGAGGACTCACAAACTGACCGTTCTGGAAAATATGATGTCACTTCGAAGGAAAGCATCTGGTAATATACCTTTAGAAAGCAGTGGTTCATCTTTTGCTACCGTTGATGGCAATAATTCCATGGAAAATTTCTGCATTCTTGGAGTCTGTGAAAAGCAAAAAAAACCTGGGGAGGCACTCCTGATTAAAGCAAAACAAATACAGTGGTCTTTGCTTGCCATGATTGCTTCATGCTTTCCAGCCGCAAGGTAATAACTTGAGCATAGTATGATTTTTTTTTCTAACAATATTTTGCATTCTCTTGAAATGTTTTTTCCTTCCTGCTCCCTTCTTTCCTTCATTCGTACTCTCCAGGTCAGTGGTAATTGTTTATTTAGTTTGTGATTTTTTTTCTCAAACATGCAGAAGAATTGAGTGTCATTGCATCAAGATTTAATTTGTAAATAATATTCAACTAATTTGAGTATTTCTTTGTTACCCTTGAAAGGCATTTTCTCAAATGTGTCTGCCCGAGGCTTTTGTGCATTTGTCATCGTTTTCAGCGAGAATAAAAGATGAAGCCTCTCATACTCAACTAAACTCTTCCAAAGAAGTGTTAGTTATAGCAGAATGGGTGGCCATTACAGCTGTAAAAGCTGCAGATGCTGTCCTCTCAACCTGTTCAACAATTTATGAGAAGAGGTGTTTACTGCAGCTTCTTTCAGCAGTGGATTTTGCTGATGGTGGCACTTCATCATCTTACTTTAGCCCAAGATATTGGAAGAGTAATCTGTTTGAACCTTCTTTGTGTAAAGATGGTGATATCTACAACTGGAATGATTTGATGGATGATGCTTGTCTTTGTGCTTGTAGGATTGTAGCTCTTCTTTGTGCCTATCAACATGTACTCTGTTTTGCACTTTTGTTGTGATGTTTATTATTTTGATATTTCTAGATATATGATCAGCCACAAGTAAGCTACAGACTTCCAAAAAGATCCTATGATAGCAACCTGGAATCATGTGATTGGAAATATTACGGTAAATGGGATTCCAAATTGTGGGTTTATGGCAATGGCAAGTAGTTCATACACTAATTGCTTTGCCTTTTCCAAAAACAAGGGGCTAAATTATATTTATATGATATAGCTTTATGATTTATTTTTTTAAGATGTCACCGTAGCGTTAGCACGGGCAATATACTAGTAAGCCAAAAAATTAGCCACAACTGTAAACCCCTAGCCCTTCGGGCCCGTTTTCTATGGGTTGTGGAAGCCGGTCGGCAGCCACTAGTCAACCAGAAATCCCCATTTTATTAAAGTCAAAAATTGAAAATGAAAATGATCTCTCTTTATTAGTGGACACTGAAAATACTTATATTTGCTTTGTCCCATTTGCTGGTGGACGTTGAAAATAAAAGCAGGGCTAGAAGACCAGGTCTGCAAGAAGCAATGAAGCTTGTCGCTTGGAATTGCGGGGGGTCTGGACAACCGTCAGGCAGTTTGAGGGCTTCTGAAACTCTAGAAGTCTGAGTGTGCAAACATCATTTTTCTGTCAGAGACAAAACTGAAGGAAAGTAGGATGCCGCGCTTCCGGTGGATGTTGGGTCTGGCTAATATGGTGGTGAAAGAT